GATTTAAACAGACTTAAATCATCTGTACCCCTCTGTGTGGAGTTTAACTGAAATACACAAAATGAGATGAATGGAGAATAAAATAATCTCTGAACTTAAAACTCAATTTTAAAATTTTGTGTGATTAAAGATATGAAGCATGCTGTCACACTTTGCATGAGAAATTGCAACGGTCTGTTCCTCTGTCCGGACTTGAGATTTTGTTACCGATTTCCAGATGGCCTTTTGGAATTTAAAGCTTGTGTCTAGTTATGTGTGGCAGGCTACATAAAAACTTAGGGGTGAGTAATTTAAGCTGTATTAACAACTGATCACAAATTGGGTGTACATAAAATCGGTCTGTTTGTCACCTGAAGGTGAGGGTGTATGGAGATGCTCTTGATACTTTTACGAGAAGAGAAGAGTGGCAAATGCGGAAGAGAAGAGCTTCTTAGACCCATTTGATTGATCTTTTTCATGAAAATGTCGAGTCATCTAAGAGCCCGATAGTACTTTTGCCTACACTGTGACTTACTTCTCCGTCTACTTGTCAGAAGAGATGGATGCCCCTTGCCCGGGGGTGGCCCAGACTGACCCTTTCGCCTCTGGAAGAAAAACTCACCTGCTCTAGGCCTTCCCTGAGAAGGGGAGAAGGCCACTGAAGGCAAAATCCCTGAGAGCAGCACCCTCCCCTCCTGTCCTCTGCCAGCATGAAGAGGATTGTATAAAGCTTCCACACCTCCGGACTGAGCGACTCACCACACTTGCAAAATTATTACGGGTAGAGGCGAGGGAAGAACTAAAGTAGGTACGTAAGATGCAGGCGTGTGAGCAAGTCCCTGTTTAAAAAGGGGCATACAGAGGATCTTTTGTATATCAATATTTGAAGCTGCTTAATTGTAGAACTCTCAAATGCATAAATGGCTTCAGTAGAGGGAGTCTGTAAAATGTTAGATTACTACTTTGGAATCTCTTTTGAAGCATTTTGAAAAAAAACAATTCTTCACAAGTACGGAAAGGCTGCACTTTAAAAACTTACTCACATCGTAACTTTAATGCCCAGATTTAAAGAAAAAAACCAAATAAATAAGTGGAAGGATTTGTTACTTTTCTATCAGAAGATGCAAAATTTGACTTTAATACTGCTTCACCACAAAGCCAGTATTGCTCTAAAGCTGTTCAAGTAGGAAGTTCAGATCAGACAGCGAGAGGCATGTACGTGAAGTACTGAAGTTAACGTTGCAGGGTAGTCCTTGCCCTTCATTCTGTGCCTTTTACTGGAATAATCACTAATAAAGTTGCTTCTGCTGTCAAGACAGCGGATTGGCGGGAGGAGTAGGGAATGCCTGTGAATGAAAACCCAAAGAGATGTGGAACATTCGGCCCTGTTAGGCAACCTGAAGCAGCATTCAGCGCTAAACCAAACCACCTTCAACTAGCTTCTGTGGAATGAAGTTTCCTACAGACGTACTTGTTCTTGGCTCCTCAGTTCAAGCATTTTGGAAAACAAGAATATTCCAGATCAGTTAGTGGAAAATTAGTTGTTTCCTTCTATGTATTTAAAAAAAAAAAAAGAGGAAACTTATGGTAGATAGTGAAATAAAATTACCTCTGCTTTACATCACCAGTACAGTCCATGTTATACTTCCGTGGGCCTGTATTAAATTACTTGGCGTGGGTGTTGTCTTACTGTAAAACGCCACCATCTGTCTATGCTGCTGCTCGCCTCTTTTCCCAGCTGCAAGAATTTGACAGTGCGTCACAGCTAAGTTGGGAGTTCGCGTTCTTCAATATGGCTAGGTCACATACATAAGAGGGAAACTAATCAGTTGTAAACCCACAAAACTGGCAGGATCAGACTTCAAAAATATTTAAACTGAACCAAACAGTGGACGTTTACATAGGAGTTATTAGAAGGTTAGTCCAGCTCTCCAAATATCTAAATACATATTCAGCTTGCCATATGCTCACTTACAGCTGCAAAGCAACAGCCTCCTCCTGCCCCAAGGGCTGTCTTCTACTTTTGTTACAGGGAATTAGGGCTTGCTTAAATTAAAAATTGTCAAATCAGTGGGGCAGGCCAAGTTTTAAAGCATTAGAAGTTTGCATTCAAGTTAAATGACGCCAAAAAAAAAAATAATTCTCATACCTATTCGAGGACTTGGGTCCATCCTTTATGCAGTTTTAGGGTTCTATATAACAACCGCACGTGCGCACAGAAAACACCAGGCGGCCTTTCCTACAGCTACTTCTGCCTGTAGTGCGCTGTCACTGCGATGAAAAGATTTCACTTCTGAAAACGGAAAAAGCACTGTAAGTCACTGGTGGCAGGGATTTAAATGGCTTTTGCATCTCGAGTCAAAAACCTGACTGTATGCTTTGGCCCAACAGATGCTTCACAAGCCAGCTAGCTCCCAAGGGACTTCACAGCTGGGGACTTCCTTTTCAAACCTTACGGCTCGGCCGCAGCGCTGAGCACCTGGATTGGGAATGCTGCCTACAGCAAGCTCGCCCTCGGCCTGTCCTCTTCTCTCTGCTGTCGGCGGTTCTTCGAAGTCCCTCTCAGCAAACATCGCTGCTCCCTTCTCCAGCAGGGGAAGAGGCACAGAAGATAACACCACAAGGCAAAGCCTGGAAATTCTCAGGCACTGCAGAGAGAAGCTTAATTTTAGGTTTCCCTGTCACAGAGGGCAGGACAGGCTGCCCGGGAACCTTTTGACACCGGTCATTCAAACTGCGGGAACACACCAAAGCATTAGGTAACCATGTCCTTCAGGTTTTGCCATCCAAGAGAATACTTTTCCCAGAATATGCTGAAGCGGACTACAGAGAATGTTTGGTTTTCCTCCTGAAGGGAAGAAGAGGAATCTCAAATTTAATTGTTGGTATTTGGAATGACATTTAAACCCAATCAAGAAATTAAAACTCGAGTAGAATATTTTGTGCCAAATACAGAAAGGAGATTTGTAAGTGAAACCAATTTCAAACAAAAATAAATTTATTTCAAATCTTACACAGTTGAATTCCTTCATTGCACAAATCAAAGTATTAATCATGTTGATGTCTGTTGGATAATACATTACTTCATTAAAAAACCCTCAGTAACGTTGAGGTGAGGACCCCCAAAATGTAAGCTACGTTAGAACTGGATACCATAGAGCTTGTGCAACCACAGGAGAAATGTTTGCTGCTGCTTTGTTATTACACAGGTAGTTGGTTCGATCAGCTACAGCCTAGTGACTTGGATTTGTTTTATGCATATTGGGTTTTGTTCTATTACTTTCCAAGAGATTGTACTCCCTCGAGTCAGCTGTGTTCATTGGTCAGAATAAATTCCAGCATCTGACACCATTTCCATTAATCACAGACAAGGCGGTATACGTGAGGAAGATAATAGAAAGATGAAACCAATATCTGGTGAGTGGGAAACATTATTTATGTATGCTGTTTGCTAATAGAGCGGAAGGGAGCTGGAAGGCATTTTTGCAACTTTGGTAGACAAACTGAAAGAGGAGGAGAAGATGGGCACCGTACGAAGGACTTACTCCGCAGGGAGGAGAGTGTCTGGAACCACACGGGTCAGGCAGCACCTCGGTAATGCTTTTATAGCCCATCGTGGCCTTCCCCACGTATCTGCAAGCAATTTTAAGATCATTTGCTACTAAACAGCTGTGAAATTAATTTTTATTACACTGATCTTAACTGGACCCGTGAAGTTGAATACTTCACTCACCCACTCTCACATCTGCAAAAGACATATTTAGTATTGAGTATCTTCCCACCCGTGACAAGTTAGGTATCACGGACCTAAAATACAAAGCATTTCTCTTCAATGTATTGAGCAGTCAAGGTGTTTCACTTAACCCTGTTGTATTAAGCCAGATAGAAAGCAGAGCAGTTTTAAAAAATAAAAAAAGGCATAAATTGCATTTGTCTAAAACCAGTTCTTGGCCTTAAGGGCCGGGGGGAATAGTACTTAGACACCCATAGTCTATAAAGCAGGCAGCTGCAATTCAAATAACTCTAGTTCTCAGTGGTACACTAAAGATACCACAAAAATACTTCTTCGGTCTATCAACAATGCTACACCACCTAGTCCCATTAAATTAAGGCTTTGTTTCTGTAATGAAAGAAAAGTTAGCAGCCTTCACCGCCCCACGAACAAGAAAGTCAAGGCTGTGGTGCTGTGCGAAGGAGGCACCATAAGGAGAATTGCACCACGAAGAGGAGGGTTCTGGGGCAGGCACCGCCGTGCGCAGAATTCACTCGGTTTCTGTGAACCCAGGGAAATGAGCAGAAAACCCCGGATCCGCAGTGTTACTTACCAGCCTTTGTAATTTGCAGTAAAGCCCAAATGCTGCAATCAAAACAGGATAGCCTAGGAATGATTTTTTTCTTGCCTCTACCTAATATAAATCAAGATTTTAACAGTAACAACAAAAAAAAAAGTCACATCTCTCGGTTTAAAAATGACATAAAAAGGCATTTCTGAACCAGAGGAATCACAAAGTCAACTGAAAGGAAGAAGGGAGAGAGTATCCAATTCTTCATTGTATGTCTTACTCACTCTGAAAAAAAACAGTGTCAAAAAACCACCTCAGAGCTGGTACAAGTTTTACCGCAGGATGCCACGTGTTTTCTTGATAACATACAAATAGCAAACAAATACAGAACAGGATTATTTTGTTTTATTCCAAGAACTGACTTTTCAGTGTAATCTTTGGCAACTGTATGCCATTTGCAGTACAAGACTATCTAGGCCCCATGCTAGATTTCTGTATATTTACACGATACCAGCACAGCTTTAAACTTCAAGGAACTTGCTCCTGATTTACAGCAGAGGAAGACTAGGCTTTTTGTTTCGGAACTAGAATTTAAAAAAAAAAAAGAAAAAGAAAAAAAAAGAAAAAAAAAGAAAAGGCGGCATTTCAGGCAATTTGTTTTCCCCTCTTCAAAAGTTCAAGCGTTAAGGTGCCTATTCAGAACCTCTCTAACAACGCCTCAGTTCGTTCTTAAATTGTTTAGCTCTTGTGCAGACAGTTTTGATTACACTGATCCAGGTAATCTGCTGGACAGTTTAACAAAGCCATTTTATTTTTCATTTCCCAAAACACATTCTCGTTAGGCTTTGGAGGACTTGGGAATACCCAGGAATTATCTTCCAGAGAGCTCCTTCCGTAAGAATGGTGTTCCTGAAATGTTTTGCCATCAACTGGAATGGGTCGCTCATCTGTCCATGCTTGTAGGGCCACCCTTTCAGATGGGATTTTTCCATCTCTCGGCAGAGGGGCAGACACAGCATTGCAGAGTACTTGATCATTTGGTGAGAGTTTTTTATAGACCACCCCAGGCATCAAATTCAGCTTTGAAATGTTCAAGTCAACACATTGTACTGGTGCAGTAGAGGCAGCTGAAGGGGAAAAAGAGAAAAAAATACTTTAAAATGATGTTACTGAATGCATTTTCATACGCTCCACATCTACCACAGCAGAGCAGGGATGGTAAACCCAGTGCTCTCAAGCTACAAGTTTTCCAACCGTATTTCACTAGCTACTTAGAAGTTACAAACTGAATGTAGTAACCTCCTCAGCCTGATTTTGCAAGATGAACCAGAGATCCTGAAACCGCAACATCTGAAACACAGCCCACACCAAGGACACCTCCCAGCTCCCACCTGAACATAGATTCACTAATGAAGCTTTTTGAGAAGGCTGGAACAAATGCTGAAACACCGAGGATTTCCATGCACTTGGAGAACTCGACGAGATTCAGAACGCTGCTTACACAGAGCATGCTTCTTCCTACTCTACCAGTTCTTTCTTTTAAGAAGTTGTGTGCTCAGGCTGCCAAGAACCTGAATTCTCGCTGCCCGCAAAGCAGCAAGAGGGAAGCGCACGGCGTTCACAGGTTCCCTGTGCCCCGCTATTGTCTGACTTCAGAAAGTGAAGCGACAGACTGCGACGTTCAGCCAGCTGAAATTCCAGGGGAGTTCCAAACCATGCTTGGAAGGGGAGGATTTTGAAACAGAACAGCATCTACCCGAAATGAAAGAGCTGCACCTTCAACATGCATCTGAACGGACGGTCAACTACAGCCAGGTCATTCTTTTGTAATAGTAATTTACATAACATGTCATGGGAGTAGATTAACGATTCCTGCAGTTAAAGAAACTCGCGTCTTGTTGGTAGTTTTCTATGAGGTATGAACTGCAATTTGTAACTTTAGTACTTAAGGGACAGAGAGAGGAGCCGGTATCTTGGCCAAAGAACACAACTTTCTTTGTCACTCTGAATTAAAGGGCAGTGCCCAATTCACAAACGTCAGCCAAAAGCACTTTCCAGTGGTGCAGGCACCATGTCCAGAAAACGTGCTAAGGCACTGGATTCTGGATTTGGCCTCTTTGTGCTGACAGGTGTAAAAAGCAATTTGAGGTCTACAGACCTTTAGAAGTTCAGGAAAAATGGAATCCACTGAAAATGGTTTGAAAATGTTTAACAAAAGAAAGCAGACACACATTTGTTGAAAATGCTGCCGTACATAAATGACAGCTAAGTAGAATTGCGTGTTAACTGGTAGATACTGTTAACACCCAACACACCGCAATGAATACATCGCGTACTCTGTGTTCTGCAGACCTTACGCGCCTCTTACTAGTGGCAACTAGCTTGTCTGTGGTAAAATGGCTAGCGCTACAGGTATGGGAAGTGGAAGGTTTAAGTCCATTCTACCCATATTTTGCATAAGCCAAGCTTTTTCTATAAATACAAGCACAGATATATCTGCACTGCATTCGTAAGTGTGGGTGACAAGCAAGGTATACAGGAAAAAAAATAAATACAGTTTTCATTTCTGCCAAACCTGTCCACTCTTATGTACTTCTGCAAAATTACCAAAAAAAGCCTACAGAGCAAAAGGCAAAAATCCATTGTTTCCTAATCAACCCATAATGCCTTTTATAGCTGTGGAGGTACAACTGCACTAGCAACTGCAGAAGACCAGACTGTTCACCAAGTAGGAGAGTAGAAAAAATCTCGTGTAGTGGCAAGACAGGTAACTCCAAATTAAAAACGAGGACAGAAAGGCACTACATGATCACATCAAACCTTGACAGACTTAAGGATTAAAACCCCATTCAGTTCCCAGTTTCTCTGCTGAAGTTACTTGACAAATGCGTCTTAGAATTGCAGGAACACGGACTCACCCAGTAACAATATGACCAAGTCTATAAAATGCGTTAATAATTGAATCAGCCAAGTGCCAGCGAGCGAGCATTAATCACCGCTGGCCACAGACAAAGGCAGTGATTGACATGGAGGTGAATCCCATCATTACCATCAGCTGTTCAGAAACAAAATGTCTTGGTCTTGCAAGGGACAGGGACAGGAGAGACTGTCACCAGGATATCGTAACCAAGCTCACAGTCCTTCACCGGCACCTTCTGTATTCGGAAGGCAGTACGTACCACAACTGAAGTGAGCAGGAAACAAAGGAAATAAACCAATAGTCTGGTCCCACTGGGGTAAGAACGCTCTCTCATCAAGCCTTTGGCCGGAGAGCAGCATACGTATGAAATAGAAGAACCATCTGATGAACTGCTCAGAGAAATTATACATACTTTATGCGGAAATTATTTTCCCCTTAATTATTTGCAACGTAGCAGCAGAAATAAGGCAGTTTTGCAGCCCCAGTGTTTTGATGTTCCGAAAAATGTCATCTTGTGTAACATTTTGCTAGGAAAGACAACTTTTCTGAACGCCAACATAAAGAAATATGCAACCGTAAGGGAATTTCAGCCTATTAAAAGTCTGATTTTAAAATGTCACCAAATGAATACTGTATATATTCTATACCGGGAAAACAAGATTGTGTTTGCAAAGAGATTCCCCCCCCCCAATATGAAGTAGTTGTGGTAAAAGGTCAAATACGAGTAAACTTAACACCTCAGCCTTGTGCACATAAGCAACACTTGACTGAGAAAAAAGCCACAAGGGAACAGAATACAGTACTGAAGAAAAAACACATCAGCAACACCTTTATGTGTGAAGTTGACCAGTATGAGACAGAAGCAAAAGCAGAAAATGGGTAGGCTGGAACCATAATACAGTCTAGCTTATCAACTTCAATTGATGAGATTCTGATAAGATATGATAGCTAGTTTCTTTTGAAAATGGTACAGCTTGAATCGACAGTTTGCGTTTGTAAAGTCTGTTACTGCAAACACTGACTTGCCTTTCTTGGTCGCTGTTGGTTTTGTTTTCAGTTTTCGTAGAACCTCAGCTTGCATGTCAGTCACTAGATGCAAATTAGACATTTCTCTCTTCAGATCCCAGTATGCTTGTTGCACACTTTCAAAACAAAAATTTTGTTAAAAGTTAAGTAATTGCCACCTCTAAAGCACCCTCATACCTATTAACATGCTTATCAAGCATTGTTAACAAATCATTTTTGCCTGACACTGCAAATTTTGCTAGAGTACCATAATTCAAAATGAGCTGAGCAGTACTAATAATTACCTTAAACTGACGGTCCTTTGTATATTTTATTTGACTCTGACATATTACAACATGTCATGTAGTCTGTATTAACATACCAGATGATATTAATAATTACAAGTTCCCCAAATGGAAAGAAATACAAAGCATATTCTTCAATTCCATTATTTGAAACTCTTCCTATTAAATCAGTAATGTTGAAGGAATATTTAAAAAAAAAAAAAAAGAAAAAAGAAAATTAAATAGAAAATTAAATGGACACTAGACTGCAAGCAAGGTAGAGTATTAACTCTCAATGGCTTCTGATCAATAACTGCACACACCATCATATCTCATGATCCTAGCAGTGTTAATTGATCACAGTTTTAAATATTCAATCAAAATCAGTATTTGGGTCTTCACAGCATGCACTTTGGTACAATGAATTCAGACCGGATACCTGAGATCCAAACTGGGCACCCCCACCCAGACCAAACTACAATATAAAACATACTGTTTCACACTCAAGTCACCTAACTTCTATTCATGGACTGCCTTATCAGACAGTGTTAAAAAACAGCACCCGAGTCATTCTTTGATAAGACAGCATGTAAGAAATGTATCTGGCAACAGCAGCACTGCTCCAACATTGAAGTTTCAGGTTAATGGCTCGTAAAAAAATCAAGAACCACAACAACAACAAAAAAAATAAATCAGAAAGGTCATCAGCATCACCATATGTTTCTTGGTAAAATTTGGAGCAAAGGCTCACTGAACGCCACATTTACGTCGATTAATAATTAACTTAGTGTTCAAAGACATAAGGATGCAGTTACTTCAACTCAAACATGGAATCAATGATTTAACGTTTTTATAATGCTTAACATGCTACCAAAACACATTTCTTGAGGACAAGTATCATGAATGAGAGTTTTGAGAATATTTCTTTCCTCCTCACTATATCCTCCTAAAAGATGTTTATTTGAAAACAGTTCAGTGCCTCAAACTATTGTTGCGATGACGGAGAACTACTGAAATTACAGTTGTTACAAAGTTTAAATATGCATATATACACATTTCTGTCCCTCTAAAACTGCAGTTTAGGATCACTCCTGCATGAAATGTATCAGACATGAAGTTGTTCAAAAGCACTCTGAGAAACAGCTGTTACTCTCTTCTGCAAGTTAATGCTGAGAGAATTCCCTTAAAACAAAGAAATGAAACTTCCTTTACGCACAGAAATATTTCCCCAGAATACATTCAGATGCAAAAAGTCTGCTGAAGACCAGAGGAAGCTGATGGTTTAACAGGTAGCGTGTTAGGTATTAGCAATTCTGAGAGAAAGAAAGTTAAAATGTTCAGAACTGGTGTTTCAAGAAGTTGAGCTAAACCTGGGGCCTCTTGACTGCACACTCCATTTGGCTCTTGGAACTTTTAAGAGATGACAGTTTTAAAATTAAGTCGATGTGGCAACCACGCTTCCTTTATCCATGTGTTCTGGTCTCAAAAATAAGATCAACCAACCTTTAGTTATTTCAAAACAGAACTGTCCAATATTTAATACGGAAGTGGTAAATACAAGAACAGCTCAGTGTCTGCCACCAACCAGAAGGAAAGCGCTTAGATAAATTTTGTAACATGCATTTAGCGCTTTTAAAAGCGACTTGGAAAGGGATGCAGGTACCAGAATTCCACTTAAATCACACAGAACATATTGGAATTGGTTTTGTGGCTACTGACCTAGAATCCCGTTGCAAAGCCGAATTTTGAAGGAATTTGCAACTGAAACCCAAGGATTCCACGTGCTTGGAAGTTTATCCTATACTGCTTTCTAACATGTAATCTAAACCTTGAATATGATAGCCTATCTAAATCAACAGCAAAGTAGATTTGCAAACCAAGACTTTAAAGTCAGATTTGCAGGCTGCTGACAAACATGAAATAATTACTTTTCGGAAAGTTAATGAATTGCAAATGCCTCCCTCTCCCACTTGCTACAGCAAGTGTTTCACATAGGAGGTTTTTCAAGTGTTTTTCCACAGATTTTTTGGTGGGCTTACATATTCACTACACATTAGACATTCATGATTTATGTCATGTTACAGTAAACACTGTGCTGTACATACGCTAATTCAGTTGGCTGCCACCTGAACGTCACTTTGTGGAATCGGTCTGCTCTGGAAGATGAAAGAGGTAACTGCTGTACCTTGAGATAACACCTTTTTTCAGGTGTCTAAGGCTTGGCTATGAAGCTCCAGCAGAAACCACAAGGAAAAGTGTTAGCGAGCTAGCCAGCCAGTCGAGGTGAAAGGTGAAAGTGTCTTTTGCATCTAGTGCATACAATATTGTCATCGTTACACCGGAGAACATATGAAAAGAAACATCTGTACTGTTCTCTCTCAGCGACTGATTTCCTTCCCATCTCTTCAATACCCAAGCAAGCAAGGAGGTATTACGCGAAACAATCTGTCATTACGAAGGACCACTCTTCCCTCTGCTGGAAAATCGTGTCAGTGCACCGACAGGCGGAACTGGGTGTAAGAGATGCAGTTAGTGTTTTATTTCTGCAAGACAGAACGTTTGGGAGCTTTCACGCATTCATGAATTGTTCTTTTGCATAAAGAATTAAAGGAGGTATGCATATATATACACACACACTTTCTAATACGGCACACATACTCAAGGGAGGGTAATATAGGAGTTTATATCATAAGCACAATTACTATTTGAATGGCTGCAGAATGAGAACAAACGCTTTCTGCTGTTTTAGCATTTTTCTGGAAAATTGCTATTTCTTTTTGAATAGGTCACACAATGGCTCCTCAATATTAAAAAAAAGAAATCTTCTAAAATGTCTTCTAGAAGAAGTATTACTGCACTGCACGAAGTAAGAACGTATGTTCCAACGCTAAGCAAGAGATTTGAAGCCATCACCTGTGCAAACAGAGAAACCTCCCCATACACAGACAAAGATATTCCATAGCTGGAACGAGACTTGGAAATTTATCTATCTACTACCTCCTCAAGTCAACTAATTACTAAAAAGCTGATTTTTAAGTCCAAGAGAATTTAACTTTCATTTTCTGTAGAACAATCTGAAGATATAAACTTTTTCTTATCATCATCATCATCCTGAACTACCAACATAACAAAGAAAAAAAATTACAATGATCTTGCTAAATCAGTATGCCTAGCCTTGAAATTAGGTTACATCATTTGAATTAACACATTTGAACAGGCTGCAAGAACATTTACTTGTCCAAACAACAGTCCCTCAGTAAACTAAAAATAAAACATGAAAGCCACTTGATTTTTATACCTCTGGATGTCTTGCCTTTGAAGGAGGTCTCCATTTAACGGATTTTCATCTTGAGCCTGGTCCTGCATAACAGTGAGGGGAAGGTAGAGAAAAAAAGATCTGAAATCATATGTTCATTCCATCTGAAAGTACTGCAGCAAAACGACAAGTTCGCTAGTGCTGAAAGTGAGAAGTAAAGTAGTCTTCATTTGTGTTGGCTGCAGTGGTTTTCAAAATGGACATGAAGACTTCTGCTAAGAATTTCCACTTAAAAATTCTTAAACTACCTACTTATATGAAGGCATTGCTCAGCCAACACCATACTCTTTTTTTTTTTTTTCTTCTTTTAAAACAGCTGAGCTCTCAGAATTTGCAATTCTTTGAAAAGCAAAAATTGAGAAAGGTTTTTGACTTCCCTTAAAAAAAAGGGAAATCGGTCTTCTCTTCTTTCCCTGCCTCAGTATATAAAGACCTTTAAATTAAAGCAAACAGTTTCAGTATAGATTTACTTCCACAAGTTACCTTTATGACAGAACAAAATTTATCCCCTTGAGCCTGAAAGACTGCTTTAAAATTGTGCATACAAGCAGCCTCCCTGAAGTTAACAGGACTGTTTAACAAATCAAACATGGGGCTCGCTTCGTTAGTTATGTTTCTATTAGACCCTCACCTGTGATGAGTTCCCATTCGTACCCCTTCTCGTCACGTTCCCTTCCTCCTACCGTTCCCTCTAGCCAAAGCTGTTATGAGTTTGATACCTTTTACTCTGGCTTGATGATAGCCTACAGCCACCTCAAGCGACTTGTCGATATAATTAATGTACACACTGCATCTACTGCAATGCAAAACCCGAATATCTAAAAATAGGAGAAAAAAAAAAAAGTATACTTGCCTAAGGCAGAAAACAGCTGAAAATGCTCCCTAATGTAATTAAAACCAGTAATAACAACAATACCAGCTGGGTTTGAAACAATGCTGACTTGGTCATTGCCCATTGATCACATTTCCCTGTGTTTCACCTGACAATTCTTCCCTCTCCTGCAGACTTTCCCACCACCACTCATCAGAGATTCAGTTTCATATTTAAAAAAAAAAAAAAAAAGTGCACTATATAACTCCCCACATTTGAGAACTTGTACCTTTTAATTTCCTATATTAAGCAGTTACCAAGATCAAAAAGAAATTATATTAAAAAAAGAAAAAAGCTGTTCCTTGTATTTGTCCTTTGCAACAAAAGCTGCTGGCATAAGCATTATTTAAACAGTGTCACGTCTAGTATTCCTTACAACTGCTATTTTAGTCTGCTCTTTCTAGCAACATTCACTCTTACAACACAATCTGCAGTCTTCAATTATTTATATAGCTGTTACTCTATTCTACAGAGCTACCTGAAGACACCAGAACTGCAGACAAGTTACAGTACTTCAGAATTTACAAGCCTTCAGAATTTACAAGCTCTTGAAAACACCTAAAAGAATTCCAGATATGAGTGAAAACTGCCACCAACAGTAAGGGAAGTTACCAAAACGCCTCACGTGCCTTGCAGGTAATGTGTTTTATCCCCACCTAGGGGGAAAAAAACCACAGTCAACCTGAGACAAGACAACGAGACCCCAGCTATATATGCTTTGAGGGCAGCAGGGGAGCAGGGCTTGGCTTCAGGCTAGCTCTGCTCTGGTCCCTGAATGCCCAGGAGAGGCTGGGATGCACCTTCAGTAGTTTCATCCTAAAGGAATCCAGTTCCCATACTCCGCAGTGCTGCCTGATGCAAGGCAGAGTAGGCAGCGGTGATTAGGAGATTTGCTTCAGAAGTACATTTCTGTAGTGACGGAAGTGTGCCCATAAGAAAATGGGCCAAAGAAACATTCCCAAATGAATCCAAATCCTGTCTGCAGGCAGGATGATGGCGACGGGTGATGGATTCTATCTGCGAGTCCCACATACCCTGAGTATTGACTCACTCAAATACTATGTGAATCGAGGTTACATAATCGTAATTATTAATGACCATAAGGGACCTAAAATAATCTGCCTTTTCAAACAACCACAGTTAAATCTTTAAAATTTATTGTGTGACTGCACAGTCCTAGAGACTGCCACTGTACCTTTCATCAAAGGTAAGGTATAAAGCAGTAAGCACGCACTAGACTTATTTTTGGTTTTTTTTTAAACTTGATGCATTTTATTACTGTTAAACTATCTTAATTTTCTTTTTGAGATCCTAACAACGTCTACATTACACAATTCCCTCAAAACAGACGCTTGCCCCACAAATGGCAGGGAAGGGCACCAAAAGAGGTACTTTCCTGACAAGCTTCATGCGACTACCCTAAAGAAAAGTGCTAGAGCTCCTTAAACAAAGTTCATGATACCTTTTCACAGAAGCATTCTACTGTTGTTTTTAAGAAGAAAAAAAAAAAAACCAACCAGGTTTTGCCCAAACTAAGTAGTCCAGCCCAAAGACAAACACTAACATAGAACACTTTGATGTGAGCAGCTACTTCTAAGAAATCACAAAGCTTTATTTTCTGTTGTTATATGGGCAATGGCTGGGAAATCTCTCCTGTGTAGAATCACAGAACATCTCAAGTTGGAAGGGACCCATAAGGATCATCGAGTCCAACTCCCTGCTCCTCGTAGGACTACCTAAAACTAAAACTTGTGACTAAGAGCGTCATCCAGACGCTGCGCGAATTCCGACAGGCTTGATGCCATGACCACTGCCCTGGGGAGCCTGTTACTATTTCCAAGAAACAAGACAGCCTATGAGAATATTTAAGGTTAATTTTACTAAGATGTTCATCTTTCACTTAATTATATACTTTATATCTCTTTGTTCACCCTTTATTTTGCTTGAACATGGAATTTAAAAGAATCTATTAATACAAAGATTCCTTAAAAATAAAGGTACCTTCTGCTTGGATTTTTGCAACTCCTTTCTGAGACTATTGCATTCTTGCTTGAGCTGTTCTAGATCCTGTTCCAGACTATGCACTTTCAGGTCATTGTTCAGCTTCTCTATTTCCCAGCTGGACTGAGTACAATTCAGATTTTTCATCACTGTAAAGAAGACAAGCAAGGCAATCAGATTTCAGTCTCAGTTCCAGGAGTGGAACTCAGTATGTAAGGTTTCACCTCAACCAGCCCATGCCCTACAAAAAACATTATCCTGTACATTCTGAAGAAACCGCAGTCTGTGGCAACCGGGAAGTAGTAACACTGGTAAAGTTGTTGGCAGAGAAGTGCTTTATTCTCCAAGTTTAATGTATGGAGCCCTGCGTTCCAGGAATGCACTGGAGATTTTACATAAAAAAAAGAGGAAGTAACAGCATAAAAAGGCACTGGAAATACAGAAATCAGTTAATGGCAAACACACATAATGTATACACCAACCTGCATACTTCTTACATGCTTTGAAAACATGAGCCTTTTCCCCCTCAGATTTGCATTGTTACATAATTTACTGTAAGCTTTCCCCGAGGTTAGTATCAAGAAGTTCCAAACAGAACAACAAAAGATACAATCAACACAAAAGGGTAAAGCCTAGAAGTTACAAAAGTCTTCCTATTAGATGGAAGAAAGTCACACAGTTGCTAGTAAGAAGCAGCCTAAGACGACCCTAGCATGAAATCAGTAGTAGGACGCTAGTTGATGGCAAGAAAAGAAAGAACACGACAGGAAGAAAACCCCCAAGTCTTCAACTGCATGGTACACTCATTTCCAGATTTAACAGTTTAAACAAGCTTAAGTTACACTGATTTTTCTTAAACAAGGTACTCGAAGCCCACTTAGGAGTAAAATTGATTACTAAACAAGACTTGAAATCGTCACATTTTCAGAGCTCTCCTTAGAAACTTTGCACTTCTTACCTCCTTAAACCATGAGGTCCTCAACAATGATACTACTACTACTACTACAGGTGATTTGTTCTTCTAGGTTTAAAAAGTTGTGCAACTGAAGTAGTGCGTTACATGCTTGAGCTCCTCTTGGAAAGTAATCCAATTCAAGCACAGCACCACTTACAAGTGCCCTTCAAATGACTGCATTTGTACAGAATCTGAAGCCCAGTCCATCTCTCTAACTTTACACAGATGGCATTTCCTTGTTCTCTCTTCTTGCAACTGTATTAACAAAGACTGGGTTTTTTCTTCCGCGATGTTTTATTTTGCATACCTACCATCTACACAGCACTCTTTACAAGAGCTGTAACAGAAACTGGATTTGGGCTTTTGGAATTGCCAGGGTATGCTGTTTGTTTCTCCTTCCTCTTTCCACCAGGCTCTCTACAACCAGCACCTTTCTACCCTTCCTCACCTCCCAGCCCTTTAAGTAACTGTTGTTGACTGCAGCTATTGCTCTACAACATCCCCTTCTACCTGTCATATCCCCACAACGAGACAAAGCAATACACTGGATCATCTGCAGGTACCGGAGGAAGCAGTATCGACTGGATAGCGTTTGATACTTGAACAAGTATGGCCCCGCCTCACTCTAAGGAAGAGGTGGTGGGGTCCAGAGATGTACGTGACTAACCTACAAACTGTCAGGTTCTGCACATTTCTCAAATTATTAAATAATCTACAGTGGAAGAAAACGACAGCCTCGGAGCTTTACCATCGAGCTCCTCGCCTATGACAATCGAAGATGCATATCACCATTTACGAGAATGAGCACATGCACAAGTTCACAGTACCTCACTGCAGCATATGCCTCTCTTACCTAGCCACTATATAGGATTAAACCTCTTCATGCCCTGAGATCATATTATAACAACGGAGAATAGTCAACATACATTAAGATGAAGCAACCGAGTGAGTACCTTGTTGAGTTTCCACTTCAGTTCTTAGTTGTAACAGCTCCACTTCTTTAGACTGCAACTGTTCATTCAAGATTTTCAAGGAGTCCGCATTTTCTTTCATCTATTTTCAGCAAGGAAAAAAAAACAAAAACCCCCAAACCATTTGTGAAGCTTTCTTCTATCATGTCTGACAATTCAACTGTAAAAAAAAAAAAAACAAACAAAAACAACAAAACCACAAAACCAAGAAAAATGTTGCTTTGCTTTTTTTTTAGCATTAGCCTAGCCCAGTAATAAAACTTAAAATTGTTATTCCTACATAGAGCATTGTCATGTACTTTAAAAACCTAACGGAGTGATAAAACGAACACCACAGATCTTCAGCAAATAAATTCATTCTACAGTAAACCTTCACTAACTGTGCAGTACTTACATAACACGCATTTAAGTCATTACTTAAAAAGGCGTACCATTTTATCCAGTTTGCTTTTCAGGTTATCTCGGTCAATGCAGGCCTCTCGATAGGCTTGGTATGCCTTGTTTACTTGTTCACGTCCAACTGAACTGCATTCCTCTTCTAGTCGGGAGCCAAGCAGCTAGAAGTTTAACAGACATGAGACTTAAGTTTCGTACGTTATATTGAGAACTGCAAAATTTAGAAAGTGCAATAGTACAGCCTGCAACATCAGCAGCATCTTTTTTTAGTTTAGAAAATAAATTAATCAAATACATTAATACGGACCAAACTTTTACAAAAGTGCAACAAAGGCTGTCTACAAATTCTGCAGTCTCTAGCCTTACTTTATGCTTGCTAGTTTACTGCTGTTAGTATTTAAAAACCCATCTGCAAGTCACGAGTACTCACACTGACAATCCCTTAATCCTATTTTTTCCAGTCTCTGAAGATGTACAAACTGCTTTCTGGAAAAAGAGTTTTAAGTGTATAAAGATATAACATAGAGAAAATTCAGAGGAAACCAAACATAATGTTTTAATGACTCATAATTGAAACAAAGATTTTTTTTCAGTGTATTTATGCAAGAAAAGCCAAAGCAGATTTACTTTACAAATAACTATTAACTGCAAGGTCACCACTATCTCACTGCCTGCTAAGGCAAGAGACAAGCAAGGGGGAATAAGCACTACCAAGTAGTTTGTCAGAAAGAGGGGAGCAGAGTTAAAATATATTCAGTATTTCTAATAAGACAGCAAGATGAGAAGTCTTACATCACATTACATCTGTTCACATAGAAAGTTCTTGTTTTGACTAAGTATCGCATTTTCATTCTGCTTATCTTGCACACTTGCTTTAAATTATTGAGGCACTTAAATACATTCAGTGTACCTAATGTAGGTATTTGTGACAGATTTATGCATATTTTCTTAAAAAATGAAAAGCCACAAAAAAAATTTACAAAACTCAAGAGAGGTGACAGTTATGCATCTACCTTAAATATCTCCTCTTTTAGGTGTTCGCTCAAAAGATGGAATGGGAAAGCAAGCCATAAAGATAGGAAGCTTCTGCCTTTTGCTTTGTGTATTGACCCTCAAAGTATGTGTACTATTCATTTCAAGTTTTGTCCTTTACCTTTTCCTCCCCCAAATCATAGAATCATAGAATCGTTATGGTTGGAAGAGACCTCAAAGATCATCAAGTCCAACCGCATACCCGATGCCACCAGGCCCACTAAACCATGTCTTGAAGCGCCACATCTAAACGTTTTTGAACGCCTCCAGGGATGGTGACTCCACCACCTCCCTGCGGAGCCTGTTCCAATGCCCAACGACTCTAACAGTGAAGAAGTTCTAATAAATAAAGCCATTCCGATAGAACATAAGCCTTACCAAACTTTCTGTAAGTTTCCATCCACTTTGAAATGTAAAACTCAAAAGGGGTAACTCCCCACGGATTTTGTTTATCATACACATATACCAGCCATTAACAAAGACCCAAAGTCAGTTCTGTTACTTTACAGTCTAGGCCTTCGCAATGCCCCTCTCTCATAGAAACGTGTCTATGGTATTCGCATACTAAACCAAAAGTTCTCTCTATGGAAAACAAAATATCATCTTCAAGACAATTAAGCTGAACCAGGCCAAACCAAAAGACACAAGACTACAAGGGACTGTCAAGGTCAAGTCCTGTTTATTGTGACTTTGAGTAACCACATAAAAGATGTTACACTCAGCATGGTTCTGAGAACATTCAGTCTGGAGCTCTATTCCTAGCCCCATCCCCCTCGCCCCGCCAGACCTCCAATAAAGAAAGTGCTGAGAAAGTTTTGCCTTTTGACAGAATGTCAATCCGGTCAAACTAGTCACAAAGAATTCCTGAATAAGCGTTTTAAAATTGTACCGAGTGTGACTCAAGCTTTTCATTCCAATGCCACAAAATAATACATACTTCGTATGCTTTTAATAATGAGTAGCACCTACTTAGGACTAAGTCCTAGTAAATGTCTCGGCTCTAACTCTAGGATCTACCTTTCCATCTTATATTAATAAGAAAGCAATCTATCACAGTCAAGACCTTCTGCAGTACAAAGACACTCCCTAGTGAACGATGGATGTATGTTTAACAACAGCATTCTCTGCTGGGGGCGAAAAGCCTGCACCATGGTCAATTTTTAGCTTTAATGAACTTCACTAGACTAAGGCCACGAGAAACTGCGTATAAAACAAATTCCTGAATTCCTTTACGTTTTAGAATTCCTGCACCAAAAAATAGCCAGCTGACACCTCTATGTTCAGCACTGCAACTTTGTATTTCACGTTTGAGACTGCTATTAGCTAGGTATTCTTAACAACCCATTTTTCCTTATCATTTTGGTACGCTGAGCCCAAGAGATTCTTCTGATAGACAACTCCTGGATTTCGACAATTTATAGACTTGGCACCTCACTATTCAACAATACTAAGTCACACGTGCCCAAGTTAATAAACACCACAAAGAGGTAGATGAAATACAGTAACGATCCAACGCAACTACACGTCTTTCTGAATCGAAGCTAGTGTCTTTGCAGGGCAGTACTGCATTGCATCGCATACGTGCCCAGTAAGAGTCAAAAATCCCAGTATGATGTAACTGGGCTACCAGAGGAACAAACTGTGTTTCACTTAAACAAATAAAACAATTTACCAAAACTTTTAAACGTCGAAATTATTTTAAGTACATATTTGAAATACTTAACCATCTGCTATGCCATCCAGCCAAGAGCAAAAAAGCAGCTGCTACCAGAAGCTGGTAAATCGGCTTTTTTCTTACCTTCTCTTCTAGAATTCTCACTCTTTTTTTTAAGAAGGAGTTCTCCTTCTCCGTCTCCTTTAGTCGTTTCTTGATATCTTCATATGCAGTGACAAGTGCAAAGTGTGAGGCAACAGACTCGTCTCCACTGTAAGATGAAACAGGAATCTCCCCGTCTCTCTTATGAGCGTTGTCTGCTTTTTCATGGTTCAAAATACAGATGTCATCCTCTACCAGCTCCTCCATGACAGCTGTTAAAAAGACAGATAGGAGTGCAAAATTTTCAGAGACAAATTCATCAAGAGTCTCAAGTCTGAAAACCTTCCAAAATAATACTGCAGGGTGTTTCTGTCTAAGGATGACAAGACTGAATAATTAGGAAATATCTCAATCTTGCAGAAAAATCTTGAAATCTTTTGTACGTGGAAAATACGCTGCTTAGAAAAGAAGTATCTTTCACTGTAACTTGATAAAAATATTTTGAGTATGCATCGGATTTATGAATCCCCAAATTAACTTTTATTAAGGCCTAACACCATCCTAGAATTTGGCTGGTACCAAATATTTGAACTCCAAAGGAATACTGTATTAGAGTTTTTGCAAGCCAGCACTGAGCAGTAAGAGGTTATAGTTGCAAGAAATCAACTAACTACTGTGGTTCCTGAGCACAAGTGCCAAATTTCCTTCATTCTTGAATGCAAATATTTACAGTTTTCCGAGACTTTAAAATGGAATCTTAAGGTACGCTTGCACTAGTCCTTAAAGAGGCTGCATGAGTAGCTATTCGTTACTTGGTTGCAGTAGAAAACATCTTGAACAACAGCTACAGTAACTCGTGACTGCAAATATGGTGAGAATGAAAACATATGCAATAACGTGCTCTGCCTCAAATGCATGGAGAAAACTGGCAATAATCTGACCATAAGAAAAGTATCACCCTGAAATACTAGGCAAATCCACCCGAATGACAAAGGCAAAGTAACCATCAGATTGCATTTTTGTTCCAACGCACATCATTTAGGCAGAGCAAAACATTCAGGAAGAAAACAGCACCTTTAAAAAGCTCCATATACTTTCTTGAACTCCAGGTCTTAAGGGAAAAGGCCCAACAGCATTTTCCAATGTTACTAGTTCAGAGGCTTGATTTAAAAACAAACAACCACCACCACCCCCAAACCAAAAATCACAAAACCAAAACCAACCAACCAGACACAGCTCATTCTTAGTTATGACGATCAAGATTCCTTACATTCGTATGCAATACTAACAAATGCTCTACAGGACCTGTGTATTTGCTATTGAAATTCAAACAGGACTTCCACTGGTTTAGCAATACTAAGGGGTAAAGGGATCAGCCGCCCTGGAGCTTATCTGTGTGGTCAGATTTCTCTCGGTGTGCTAGCAATGGAAAAGCTACATGGACCGCAGCATGATGAAGAGCTGTAGTACAGCTGCAGCTGAACAGTGGGGCTGTTAGCACATTTGTCTCTATTTGCTCCAAGCCAGTCAGACAACATGATAAAAAAAAACCCCACAACTGTGACAACTCGTTTATACTAACTAGAGAGCAATGGACTTGTAACAGTGAAAAAAAGACAAGAAAACTACACACCAAAACGGAAGTCCTTTTAATGATTATCTTCAGGAGGCCAACCGATGCCTTGTATACCATTTGATGTATTCTAACAAATCAGGTAGCCCTCACCCGTTGCTGTGCCTCACACTCAGGGAGAAAGAGCCTTGCAAAAAAGGTTTGCTTCGTTTTCATCATAAGAATAATATCACTCCACGCACAAGGTGACCTTCACCGAAAGCACTACATCATGCAAACCGCGTTAGCCGACTGAAGGAATTGCTCATTTTGTCTTCTAAGATGAGCATAACATACTAGCTTTTCCTCTCCCATTTTACCAAGGGCCCTGCAGTCTTGTCACCCATCTCGTCAAATTTCAAGAGCTTGCCTTCTCAGAGCAATGCATCTCCTTTTCTCTGAAGGCTAGACTCAAATGCCATTAAGGAGGTGTCACAGCGTATCATTATCTGTTCAAGAAAGCAGCAGATTACGTGACCTTGTACATAAAATACATCTTTATGCCCACACTTTCGTATAGCTTCTAAACTTGAGCATCATACATTCCCTATTTCTTGCGCACATTTGTTCCACCAGGAGATGGCAATAAGGGAAACCAGGAGACAACATGAGAAGACGAGACCAAATTTATTCTGTATTTTGCTAACTAAAACTTACTGCCTTTATGAGCTTTCAGAAGTGCAAGACCTTCCAAATAAGACTGAGCATACACAAATACTATTTTATAAATTCAGGTAGACACTGAACCTGCACCTACTAAAAGGACTGGTTACACTAACATTTTTTTTTTTCCCTTGGAAAATCTCATTTAAGTTGACAGGATTATTCAACTCTGGTTTTCCGATGCTGCTCTCTACCCCAGCACTGGATGCTTTTTAGAAGGTAAGCATGTAAATCCACATCATTCAAAGGGGCTTGTAATACACATTTTTCTAAAGTTCTACACACAAGATAACCGTTTCAGAAAGATCCCATACACACATTTTTGTCTAATCTTATTGCATACTAAGTGACGACAAACTGCCTACAAAAGAAAAGTCTACTTCTCCTGAGAGACAGGTGCCCAAATAAGACACCTTCCTCTCGGTTCATCCCTTTAAAGAATAGATCTGATGATGTAACACTCTGAGGGGGAAGTGACAACACACCTTACACAGGCTTAAATGAAGTAAGTGGGATATTCAAAAGGAATTGATTTTTAACCTTTTTGCTTCAATTCTTAAAAATAAATAAAATTATCATGAAACATGCTTCTCTGTACTGAAAGCTCAACAGCCTGTCAAGAAGGGAAAATCACCACAATATTCACATTGTATATACTTTATTTTTATCTTTC